AACATTTTCATATGTCCTGATCAATTGCACATAAAAATATTAAAATTTATGGCATCAAAATATGTTTGATCAAAATTTAACTTGATTATACTTATTATTTTATAAGTTTATAAATATTAGAAATCATATGATTTGTTAGACACATTTACATATTAAAATAAATAAAAAATCTATTAAATTGTTCATTGTTATGAAAAATCAAGTGAGTCTTAAATCTACAATATATAACAATGTTTGTGTGATAACATACTAAAGAAAACATACTCTAATTAACTTTTTATTCAGGAAATTAAAGAGTTACAGTACAGAGTCAACGAACGCTTCCATACGACGACGTTCGTTGTTGTACACTACTACACGTGCTAAACAAAACTCGAAACAAAACAGTTCCTTTAAAAGCGTCCCAACTTCTTTTGTACATTATTCTTATTATATTACAAAACATACCGAACCGAAAATTCAAACGCTGTTTTGCTCATGTATTAAGCCTCGACCCTAGGCCTTCCATAGCTCATCGGACCACCACTGGTATGAGTTAATGTGGTCTCCAACGTGCTAAACTTAACCTTCCTAGCTTCTTGGGGAGAGATCTGAAATCCATTGGTTATAACCTCAAGTGGCAAACCTGTCATGACTGAGGTACGTCCCGCTAGAGTATTGATCTGCGCATTTTCGTTTGTCTTGAATTCGATCCACTCGAACTTGTCGCTTGTGGCACGTTTCGAGACCGAGAAGCCTTGTGGCACGACAATTAACTGTCCGCTGGAGATCTCTTGGTCGAACACTCTCTGTCCGTTGTCGTTCACCATTTGGATGTGAGCTTTACCGTTTGTCACGTATAGTGCCGCGTTTGCGTTCACGTTCCATTGCGGTAGCACCATGGCGTTCTGCGTTTTACACAAGAAGCAAAACAAAATAAACCATTTTTGTGGACTTCTTCATTAATGTCATCAAAGAAATTAATGGACGATATATTCTTTAATTAAATGAGTGATAATTATTTTATTTTATCGTTTACTAAAACTCACTAAATATATTGAATCAAAGCACATGGGACTTTTTTAATCATTTTCCCATATGCTTTGTAAATTTAAATAAAAGTTCCTTGAAACTTACGTTACGTATGGAGCCACGAAGAGCACTAAGACGAAGGTAACTGAGGATAGGGAGATTGTAGCTATTGAGTGTGCTGATGTATCCGAGCGAGGGCTTGTACACGTCGGCACTCGACGGGTCATCTAGGTTTTCGGTGCATCGCATTGTGCACAAAGTCTCTTCTATACCGTTACCTTCTTCCTGTGGTTGCTGGCCACCTTGGCCGCGTCTCAAGGGTGGTCTAATGACGCCGAATGGACCTTTGACCTTGACAATGTTTCCACGGTTATCTTGCTGGTTCTGGAGCTGCTGAGCCGTCTCGAGTTTGATCTTAAAGGCTTGAGCCAAGATCTCGGGTGCGAAGCCACTAAAGATGTTGTTTTGTGGTTGTTGCTCTCGGCCTTGTAGCCATTGTTGGCCTTGTGGGTTGTTTCCGGCTATCAAAAATGGCTGTAATTAAACATTAAATTATTTTTTCTGTTAATTTTAGCGGAAATAAATCAAAGTTGGAGATTGGAATCGAATTTTTGTCTATATCAATTTATAGACTTTTAAAATCGAAACCAAACTAAGAAAAAACGAACAAAAAAATTCAATGTTTCCATTAAACAAGAACTAAAATCACAGAAAAATATACTTATGTGTTTAATATTGTTTTGTTCTGGTTAGTTGTGTATTAAGAACCAAATTGTATAAAACGAACCGAATACCCGTTAATAATTCTGTTTTGAGCCATTTACTTGTACATAACAAGTTAATGTCACTCCTATAGAAAACAAAAAAACTAGTATTTGGTTTTCGGTAATTGGACTTACTCTAAGGTTTCGGTCAAGCTGGTTCTGGTTGTTAGCAATATCAGCGGCTGAAACAAGGATAAGAGGCTCATCTCCATTGTTGTAGATCCACTGAGCCACACCAGGTGGTGTGGCTGTGGTGTCACCGCACCGGATGTGCTCTACTTTCTGGTGCATGTCACGGAACCCCTGACTCTGACCCTGACCTTGGCCTTCTCCAAACTGCCCGCCCTGTTGAAACACCGGTGAGTCCATGAACGTCTCGGCGCATCCCGGAACCACTTTTCCCATTAGACCCCGTCCTATTTTATCATTACAAAAATATATATATTCAAACATTTTCTTTTTTCAAATGTTATTATTGTGATTACTTAAATATAGAGTAGGAGTGTGTAAATGCTGATAAATCAAATTAAATTGATTTGGAGAGGAAGTCAAAATAAGTGTCCATTTGGATAATGTAGCTAGTAATCTCCTTTCATATATATTCATGACCAAAAACACTTGTATTTGTAGTGGATTAATATATTTTCTGAATTATTAATACCTTTAGATTCAGGAATATTAATTCAGTTTTTATATTGGCTACGAATTACAAATATCAAAACACACTCTAACTCAATAATATATGTGGATGTATTGTAACGCACCGTGAACGACAAACGTGAGTTTGCCTGCGTTGAAGAAGGTGGGCAAGTAAAGACCCTGTGACTCAATGATGAAACGTTCAAAGGCGAAGCCGGAGCAACGGAGCTGAGGTGCACGGTGGTCCCACACTTCGATGCGACCACCCTCGCTCTTGATGATCTGACTCGGTTCGAGCGCATTGAGCTGATCGAGCTGGCACTCGTTGGGCCACTGCTGAGCAGTGTAGCCATGGAATAGGATCAAAAGTGTCAAAGAGAAGGAGATAAGACTTGAGCTTCGACCCATTTTTTTATTTTTATTTTTTAATTTACTTTGTTGGTTAAGCTCTTACATATACGTTTAGGTATATTTATAGGAGACTTTTCTTGTGCCGCGGTTAAAATAATGATTTGAATTAGGTGAGCTTATAAATGGAGGGAGTAGACACATTTCAATTTGCATGGCTCATCAAAGTGCATGTTCTTACACATCATCATCAAATATAAGTTTTGAAAAAAACAGACAACGAGAAATAAAAAACGACTAAAAGATCAGAACAGCGAGAGTTTACTAAAGGAATTGATCAACAGAGGGAGTTGTAGAGAGTAAACACGTGAGAGCCACGTGATGATGTTGCGGACGCGAGGAATTGAGCGTGACGAGTGTATGGCTGCATGCTGCTCAGGTGCCACCACTTGGAGATTCTTTTTTCTAAAAAAATTCCGTCTACTTCTGCTTTGTAAGAGAACCCCACTCGCAATGGAAAAATAAATAAATATAATATTTATTTTCTCAATTAATTCTTGAGTACTTACCAGAAAAATAATTCACTCTTGAGTATATTTTATGTTATTAATTTATGAGTTTTATGCTTCGTTATGA